GTTTGTGTTTTAATGGAACACTCCTGAAGAAGCTGTAAAGCAAAACATTGAGTGTCCAAAGAAATAGAAGTACGTTTGGTGGTATAACATTGATTATTCTAGTATTAGAATTATATATGCTGATGAAACAATCTCTTTTTGATGACTTGTTGTTCCTCAAAGAGTGACAGAACTGTAGTTATTTGGAACTTTTTTATGTTTCTGTATCATTTAAATCATAACTGTTTTTTTATTTTTAACAGTGGAATGTGTCATTGATTCTGATTGTCACCAAGGAAAGATTTGTCAGAACTATCACTGCATAGGTAAATATAACATTTCTGTTTTTATATGCATACACACACACATTCAAGTTACTCTTTTAAAATTGAAATTGTTTATATACAGTGAAGATTAAGTTGCTAGTTGTTAATTTTTAAACCAGAACCTGGAAATACAGAATTATTTGTAAAATTCCCTAAGAAAGCACAATTTTTTTTTGTAGCTGAAAGTGTTTTAAGTACTAGAAAATCGTGAGTACCTCCAGGGTTAAACTGTATTTTTTGTTGAATTACGTGTAAAGTTCATGCATTTCATTTGAATTTTTATGGATTCATAGATTTTTCATGATAATTAATGTAACAACATGACGTGTAAAGCATATTTCATTGTGGATTCGAAGGTTTTTCATGATAATTAATGTATCAACATGACATGTAAAGCATATTTTATTGTGGATTCGAAGGTTTTTCATGATAATTAATGTATCAACATGATGTGTAAAGCATATTTTATTGTGGATTCGAAGGTTTTTCATGATAATTAATGTATCAACATGACATGTAAAGCATATTTCATTGTGGATTCGAAGGTTTTTCATGATAATTAATGTATCAACATGACATGTAAAGCATATTTTATTGTGGATTCGAAGGTTTTTCATGATAATTAATGTAACAACATGACGTGTAAAGCATATTTTATTGTGGATTCAAAGGTTTTTCATGATAATTAATGTATCAACATGACATGTAAAGCATATTCCATTGTGGATTTGGAGTTTTATTTTCTTAAAGATGTAACAGTACTGGTGATGATCATGGTTTTGTCTTCTATGTTTAGTGGGTTGTAGATCAGATCAGAGCTGCCAGAGTAACGAGGTTTGCATCCGAAGACAATGTCAGGACCCTTGTCAGTTTAGCGGATCATGTGGTTTCAATGCTCGCTGTAAAACTGTTAATCACCAACTTGATTGTAGCTGTTCTGTTGGTTATACTGGAAACCCTATTTTGGAATGTTTCAGAAGTATGTGCATTTTTAATATGTATCATTGATTTTATTTAGAAAGTTATACCATGTCAAATTTTTAAAATATCTGATGTACAACTTAATTTGTAGAAAATATTATTGTGGAGAAATTATCTACTTAGCCAATAAATTCAAACTTATTTCATCATTGCTTTTTTCAATTCCGCTTAATTAATCTTAGACTAAAAATAATGTCTTTCCACCAAATAGAACTAATAGTATTTCTAGTACAAAGATGTTTTTGTGGAAGTAAAGATATTTCTTTCCCTCTTCTTATAGTTATTGGACATTGCCAGTCTGACCAAGATTGTCCTCCAGGCAAGGAATGCAAGAACAACCGATGTGAAGGTATGAAACATTCAAATTTGAAAAGCGACAGACTACACATGAAATGTAATCGAGAAGTGGTATTTTCTTTACAGCTTGTGACTGCAGAAAAAGTTTCATTCAGACTTACAAATTGCTAGCTGTATCACATTTAAATAATTCTTTTCTAACTTTGTGAAAAAATGTATAATTTTTTTTTATAATTTGATAATATTTTGTTTACATATTCTTGATTTATTATGACCATTTCACGTGGGTATTTGTTCCAATCTTATACATAAAAAGTTTGTAAGCTCAGCTTTAAGGGTCAAGATTTTTGTTATTGACCTGTATTCCTTTGTATTTCAGAAAAAGTTGAATGCCATGTCGATAGCGATTGCTTGCTAAGGCACATTTGTCAACGAAACAAATGTTTTGGTGAGTTCTTCTTCAGTTGATTATCACGCTTTAACATAAAAACAAATGTACAGAAACTTGTTTTACAATCATGTAACATGAATAATTCTTTTCATAAGATGTTTTCTAGAAAGTACGATTTTCTTACAACGAAAAAGCTTATCAAGTCTGTATTTTGATCATATAATATCAGGTTTGTGTTTTTATTGGCCAACTGAAATCTTATTACGTGAATTATTTTGATTGATTGATGTTTTTTTTTTGAAGGAGAAAGACATGTATAGTCTTAAGCACATTAACCAGAAGTAAAGTAAGTCATCAGAATATATGTTACGTTTCTCTCTTTAGTGGGCTGTCGAACAGATGATAATTGTCCCCTTGATCAGGGCTGCTATGTTGGAAGATGCCAGAATCCATGTACTATAAGAGGATCTTGTGGCAGTAAAGCTGAGTGTACACCAGTTCGACACAAAGCGGTGTGTACGTGTCCAGCTGGATACACGGGAAATCCCCTCTTGGATTGTAAACGAAGTATGTTTGGCTTTACTTTCCTTCAAACGTTTTTACTTTTTTTTTGTCAGCACTTAAATAGTAATAAAACAACAATTTTATTTTGTTTTGTTTTTCTGTAGTTTTTCATTCTTCAGTCTCTTTACTGTTGTTAAGACGGATTCATTTTTCTTTCTGTTTGTTTTTTTAATTTTATTAATACATTGTATTCCTTTCTAACTCCTGGTTCCATTCAGATTTTCAGGTTGTGTCTATATCTGGTATTTTCTTTAATATTAAACAGCAGAACAATGAGAGTTAGTTTTTACTGTATACATGTCTGAAATGAATCATTCTATTGTCTAGTTGGAGAATTTTGTGAGACAGACCGACAGTGTTTACCAGGATACATATGCCAGAATGGAAACTGTGTGGGTAAGTTTAATTAATGCTTTACCATATTGTGAAGTATCATATAATTTGAATCCAGTCAATTAACTTTGTTTTTCATAAAGCACTAGCATTTACTGTTTACATTTTTATATACTTGACATAAAAACTAAAAATGTATGTTATTCATCTATAAGTAAAATTGATTGCCTTTTACAGTTTCCGTTGGATGCACTTCTGATAATGACTGTGACCACGGGAAAATCTGTGAAAACACTAAATGTATCTGTAAGTAACAAAAAAGATCCAAATGTTTTATTCAAAGCTTGACTACAGTTTCATTTCCTTGTGATATATTAAATGTTAAGGCACCAGAAGAAAGCATTACGTAACCTGAACTTAAATGGTGTATATATCTTTATCGTAATAGAATATGGTTAGTTGGACTCTATAATAAATAGCGGATGGTTAAGCTTGCAAGAAGAAGGTTTTAACATACTGTTTCATTTGGTTATTTAACTCGATCACGTCACTAATTTTTTGATTCTTGCTGCAGATGGATGTCGAGCAGACAGTGACTGCGAGTTTGACAAAGCATGCATACAGAGGAAATGTCAAAATCCATGTAACTTTGACGCTTGTGGAACAAAAGCCGATTGTCTCCCTGTTAGTCACCAGGCCGTGTGTCGCTGTCCTGTAGGTTATACTGGAAATCCCAAGTTTTTATGCACCACAGGTAATTTATGGAGCTTTTTTAATACTAACCATTATATTTACATCGTTAGCTGTATGACATCAAAAAAACCTTTTGAGATGACACATAACTTGTAAGGATACTGGAAATTGTATATATACAAGGGCACTTCAGAAGGAAACAAGATTGTTAACCATTAAGCACACTGTTAACCATTGAGTACATTGTTAACCATTGAGTACATTGTTAGCCATTAAGCACACTGTTAACCATTGAGTACATTGTTAACCATTAAGTTCATTGCATTTCTTCCATCTTTCAAAGATTTTCACTGTAGGTCAATAAAAGCTCAAGTGTCAGCATCTGCAATTTATTTTCAGACACTTTGTGATATTATATTAAGAGTAGAACACAAAACCAATATATTTTTTGACACTTTGTGATATTATATTAAGAGTAGAATACAAAACCGATATATTTGTTGACACTTTATGATATTATATTAAGAGTAGAACACAAAACCGATATATTTGTTTGGTTTTGTGTTCTACTCTTAATATAATATCATAAAGTGTCGATATATTTGTTGACACTTTATGATATTATATTAAGAGTAGAACACAAAACCGATATATTTTTTGACACTTTGTGATATTATATTAAGAGTAGAACACAAAACCGATATATTTGTTGACACTTTATGATATTATATTAAGAGTAGAACACAAAACCGATATATTTTTTGACACTTTGTGATATTATATTAAGAGTAGAACACAAAACCGATATATTTTTTGGTACAAAAACCCACCACTTTCGTTTTTTGACTCTTAATAACGTTGCCATCTCTGTTAAGAACATTAGTTGTGAGGAAAATGTTACTGACCATTCTTGAGACAACCAGGAAGATGAAAGTCATATAGGTTAGGTCATGATAATATTCAAAAGGTTTTGAACAACAACCGGTATGGGATTTGGCATTGTCATTCTGGAAAATGGGCCTTCCTTCTTCAGGAGTGAAATGAATATCAGAAGTATATATACACTGTCATTATGTTCGTTCTAATGATGGTAGTTTAAACTTCAGTTTTAAGTAAAGTCGTTAAGTGTTTCTAAAGATTCAACTTAATCCTTAAGAACTAGTCTTAATTCCCAAACACACATAAGTTATCAAGTTTCTTTTGTTTTATGGAATATATCAAGACTTTTCAAACTCCAATGCTGAGTTTTCTGGTTTTGTTTTTGTTTAAATTTGTGTAGTCAAGCTTGCACATTTATAAAGTGAGATTTTTTTTCTCTTATAGTTGTGGAAGAATGCTATGTTGACAGTGACTGCGAACTCGGAAAGCTGTGTATCAGTAATAGATGCATTGGTACGTCATATAGCATTATTACTGACCTCACTTTATAGGAAAGTCTATTATTATAAATAGAAACTTAAGACTTCGTTTGAGCATCAGTCATTCTTGAAGTGGGAATAGGTATTATAATATTGTATGAAATGTTTTTAGAAAGACGAGGAATTACCTGGTGAAATGTAGAACAGTTATTGTAATTTTTATTTAAATTAATAGATTGGATATTTGGCTTGTCGTAAAATATCATGTAATATGTTGAGCTTGTAAAAATGTATCATTGATAAAGTAATATATCTATATATATATAATTAAAAGTCTTACAGATTTGTACTGACACATCGGTATAACAGCTTAGTATCTACCAAATCTTACACTTTGTACTAACACATCTATATAGTACCTACCAAATCTTACACTTACACTTTGTACTAACACATCTGTTTAATATCTACCAAATCTTACACTTTGTACTAACACAACTGTTTAGTACCTACCAAATCTTACACTTTGTACTAACACATCTGTTTAATATCTACCAAATCTTACACTTTGTACTAACACATCTGTATGATACCTACTAAGTATTACCAGTTTGTATTAACACATACTGTCTGTATAATA